AGTTCTACTCACTGCCTGTGGCTTTTCTTGGCAGACACTCCATATCGCAGGCAACTCTGACTTCCTGGGCTCACCACTGGACCTCTGGCTTCACTGCTACAGCTTCATCACCCACCTCTTGAGGGCACAGGGTCTGGCCTTCCAGGCCTTCCTCTGAAATCTGGGCAAAGCCTCCCTCACCCCAATAGCTCTTGCACCCTACATTCCTGAACAACCAGTATCATGTGGATGACACCAAGGCCTACCACCAGCTCAAGCATTAGCCTGGCCCCCTCGGACCATGGCTGCCATGGCCTCTGAGTAAAATGAAATGAATCTCAGGTAACCAGTTCCCCAGGAGACCCTTCTGGAGCAGGGAGCCCAGGGATTCTTTCAAATGAAAGGTTTACACTTTTGTACTCTAGAGACAGCAATGGAAGGGGTCATGCTGATTTCTGAGATGCCCTCAAGACATCTTTGTTTTTGTCCCCGTACAAACTACTTGGCTCCTTTAAAATGGTACTAATTTCTTCAACAAGCACACCATCTCTGGACTCAACTTTATACATGGTTCTTTTTTTTTTGGTACTGGAGATCGAACTCAGGTCCTTGTGCTTGCAAGGCAGGCAGCGGAACTACTGACCTAAATCCCTGGCCCTATACATGGTTCTTTGGAGCCAAAAATTTAGTTTTGCAAATACTTCTCCTTTGCTTTTCCATCGTAATTTTTAGTATAAATCTGGCTGAAAGTAGCTGCAGTAACTAAACCAACTAAGCCAGAGTCTGAACAATGCAGTGCTTTGAAATTTCCTCCAACATATCAATTAGTCCATTAAACTCAGATTCCCACAAAGTGGCAGGGCAAGGGCAAAATGTAGAAAAAAAATTTTTTGCCAGAGTACATAAAATACATACAGTGGTACCTTGGTTCACAAACTTAATTTGTTCAATTTTGGAAAAGGTGGCCATGTTTGTGTTTGTGTGAGAAAGATGGCCATGGTTATGTTTGTCACACAATGCAGTTCATAAACAAAAACAAAATTCTGTCAAACACTTCTGTTTGTGAACCAAATTGTCTGCAAACAAAAGTATAAATCAAGGTACCACTGTACTCTAGTCCAAATTCCAACACAGTCCTCTGTCCATGCTGAACCCTTATAAGCCTGGCCTTTACTGTCCACATTCCTCTTAGTATTCTGGCCTTTGGAGCTCCAACAGAATCACCTATCAGGCTCTGTTTATGGTACTCTAGGGCTTCTCTAATCAGCATTTCCAAATTTTTCCAAACTCCTACAAACCACTCCAAAGGCTTCTGAACCACTTAATCAGATATAGTCACAGAACCACAACCCCACTCCTCCAGAATTAATTCTTTGTATTAGTCAGCTTTCCTGTTGCTGGGACCAAATACCTAATACCCACAACTTAAAGGAGAAGATAGCTTATTTGGCTCATGACTTTAGGAAATTCAGTCCACAGTTCAAGGCAGGAACATCACGGCAGAGGAGCAGAGGAATGCTGCTCACCTCATGGTGGCTGGGAAGCAGAGCAAGGGGACAATGGCAGAGAGAAGCCAAGGACCAGATATAATGCCCAAGGTCACACCTCCAATGACATAGACAGAAGTATGCTTTATTATTAATCCCCTAGGCAGCACTCAAGCCAAATAAGCTGACAGTCCAGCTGTTACATATCCAATAGCCTTCATTCACAGCCTCCCCCTCCCCTTAACACCACAGTTCCAAAGCCCTTCTCCTCAATGCCATCTAGTACTTCGCTTCTTTCTACCTCGGCCTAATGGGCCTCTTGTAAAAGGTTAGCCTCAGCCTCTCAAGGGCTCCCCACCAGCTGAGGACAAAATGCAACCTTCACACTCTGCCTCCCAATGCCTCTCAGCCTGGCCTGCCCACCCCGCCCTGGGAATCCATCAGCCCTGCCTGAATGCACTCCCCCACTGTCATCCCTGGCCACATCTACCTAGACAGCTCTCCTCACCTGCTCCCTTGATGAAGTGCAGTCTCCATGGGGGCAGGGATGCTTCTCTGTCATGTGGGCAGTCACTGCGACACACACACAGACTCAGTGGCCTTCCAGAAAATGTCTTCCTCACCTTATTCTCATGCCCCCCTCTGGTAGCGCTTTGCACATACACACATTGTCCTCTCTTGCACAGGAAAGCAGGTCTGCCAGTGTGGCCAAAAATGAGGAGGCCCCTTGGAAGCAAACTGATAGTGCCCAGTGAAAGCTCCAAATGGGTGCAACCTGACAAGGACAAACTCACTCATGAGATGCATGGATAAGGATGCACTGCTGTGATGGCAAGACTTCTGTGTCCAATGCTCGAGACAGGAGACCTCAACCGTGGCCTAACTCTACTTTAGAAGGCCACAGACTAAAAAAAGGGACCTTGAGGGAGCTGTGCTGGAGGTGCTGACAATCGGACAGCACAGAGCTAGCCACTAGTCCTTGTGCTACGCTGCCCCTCACATACGTCACCTTGCTGGGTCCTTACCACCCATTTGACAGCTGATGCTGGCCTCCCTCAAGGAGAAGAGTTAAAAGGGCAAAGTAAGTGGCTCACGGTCCCCAGGTACAAACAACAGAGCGGGGTCTGAACACAAGTGATTTTGGGGGCAGAGCTCACCTCCTGGCCTACACGTGTGCTCAACTGTCCTCCTGAGCCTGAGTCTCACACAAGAGCCCAACAATCAGACAGGACTGGGCAGATTGTACAGACAGGACACTCCTCTGTAAACAGCACTCATGTAACGCTGATCACACACGGGGCAAAGAGGGCCAAAGGGACCGTGGAGGCCCTGGCACAAGTGACTCAGGGAGCACCCAACGGTGTGAGGCACTGGGCACAGGAAACAGGCCATGAGCCGTAAGAAAGACAGACTGAGGAAGTGGACCGTGAATAGCGTGCTCTCCCCAGGACCCTGGCATGCAACTTTGTTCAGCTGCAAAGTGCAAAGCAGTCCGCTAACCATGACTTAAGCAATGGACAGCCTCTGCTCAAGGAAAAGTCAAGACAACAGTGACAAAAGGGAAAAGAAGCCACTAATGCAAAGTGGAAATGGGCCCAGGACAGCAGCGGACACCATGTGTTCAAAGTGAGCCTAGACACTCTGGGGGAAGCAAGTGATTTCTACAGCTTTCCTCTGTTCACAAGCAGTGATGACTTTCTGCTTGAGAATGCCAGAGGCATCACGGAATACAGGGAGGAGCTTGGCAGGCTGCAGGAGAAGGGCACTGCTTCGGCAGTGAGTCAGTAGGAGCACTAACACCATCCACGCACAGCTTGCAAACTCCAACACCCAGCACTCGGTGCACAAAACTGCCTAGCTGGGCCCCAGTGCTTTCGAGTAAAACCCTGGGCTTAGCCTGGAGCAAACAGCACCTCTGAACCGCCTGGACTCTCATACACAACCTGATAATTTTTTTGCAGTCAAGTAACAGGACAAAAGTCTCTAGCTCAGGTGAAAGCTCCAGGCATGAGACCTCAGAGCCCTATTGATGCACGGCAGCCTCAAAGCCCCACCCTAAGGGGCCAGCACCCAAAGCGGGCTCTCTGTGTCAGTGCTACTCTACGTGCCCAAAGGAATCTTGTTTCCAGGTGAAAAATAGTATCTTCCTCATCTGCTTGATTAGATTTCCAAGGCAAGAAAATTCATTTGATAAAAATTCTTAAATTCCTGACTTTGTTCCTCAGCTATGCTAGACTCGAAATAAGAATTTCTCCTTTAGAGATAAACTAAAATAATTTCACTTCACTTAGGTTAAAAAAAAAAGTTCACATCTTAACATGTTCATGATGGGTCTGTAATTTGTATGTCTTGCTGCCAGGCAGCCTGAACCACAGACGGAACATCATGACTCTCCCATCGAGTGGCTTTATTAATTTTTTTAGGAAAAAGACTAATAAAGGTGATTACATCCATTTGTACCGCCAGTGGTACAAGTCACCTGATGGGACAGTCACGAGTGTACCACTGGTGGTTCAAGCTGAAAGGAAGAGTATTTCAAACTATTAGGCCAGTTATTTAGTACTCCAGGGTACATAAAAATAAGCCGCTATATTATAAACTACTACCCTACCAATATTTCACCTAAAGATCCAACTGCTCTAAGGCCTTTTATAAAGTGACCCAACAATACGCCCCTTGGAGCCGTGGTGTGGGCCAGGCCGGGGCTTGGACCACCTGCTCCTGTGCCCAGGGGTTTGGGAGTCACTCAGCCCACTCAGGAGGTCTAATCTACCTGGATAGCAGGGTGGAATGTGCATGCGTCCTCTGAACTGTACAGAACATCTTGCATGTGCCCATGTGAGGCTTTCTGGGTAAAGAGGCCACTGAAACCCTTTCCTCACTACAATGTTCATGATTCTGTGCACAGTAAATGAGTTCAGTAGACTTTTTTCTTTTTTTAAAGAGGTAAGAGTTTCCTTAAGCTTTCCAAGCTGGCCTTGAAATTGCAGTCCTCCTGCCTCAGCCTCCCAAGCAGCTGGGATTACTGGCATGTACCACCATGACTGGCTAGGTGAACAATCTTTAAAGGCAACAAGTTCACTACAGATAAACGACTCAGCACCTCACTCTCGCTTGCTGGCTTCTTTCACACTTGTCTCTACACTAAGCTCCATGCCCCTTCTAACCGGGCATGGCTTGCCAGTGTCATCCACACTGCTGCCTGTGTCCATGTACCCATCAGCTACCGGAGAAGCTACCCTGAAACAACACCCACATCCGCACCAACCTGGCAGAGTGTCCTTTGCTGCCAGCCTCCAGCAGGAAAGGGCCTCCCTGTGTAAGCCAGGGCCACCTTTAAAGCCCCCACAACAAAGCTGACCTACCAGGCCCCTGAGCCTCAGCCTGCTGAGAGCAGACACTGCTTCTGAACAGTCGATCAGCGTGAGAAGTCGCCATGCACACAGCACACAGAGACCGGAGATGCTGGGGAGAGGCAGCCTCTCTCTGCCCAGTCCGAGGGCAGGGGCGTTGTCACGGGTGGGGCCGACTCACCTCCAGGAGCCGCAGCTCCTGCACACAGCTGTGCAGCAGCTCTAAGGCGCGCTGTGCCACCTCCCAGGGCCGCTGCAGGAACAGGAGCAGGGTGCACTGGCGCGAGAACAGGTAGCTGCGCAGGTCCAGCAGCGTGGCCTCCCGCCTCTGCATCAACTCCCGCTTCTCCATGTCTATGGGCTTGCGGAGCACCAGCCCATTCCAGCTCTTCACCGGCTGGCAGAAGAAAGTCAGCCAGTTGGCACCATCTAAATAAACACACACGAAAGGCGCTGGCACAGGCCCCCATCTGCCGCAGCTCCTGCTCCGCTCCCGGCCCGTCCTCTGCCTGTGCCTGGCCTGCCAGCACGCATGGCACAGGGGCAGCTCCCCCACAGACACCATACAGGTCCAGATCTGACGCGGACCCAGGCAGGAGCACACACTGCCTCACCATGCCCAGGAGGCGCTGAGGAGGAGACCGAGCCGCACAGGCCCTAGGGCCAGGTGGTTGCGGAGCTGGGGACACCACAGGCTCCATGTCAGGTGGGCTGAGGCGGCTCTGGGCCACAGCGGGGCTGGCGTGCACCTGCTCCCCTGATCGTCCTGACACACTTGCCTCCTGAGTCTCCACACTGTCCCTCCTCACTTCCCCAACTGGACCGGATCACACCCCGAGCAGAGCTCCAGAGGACAGGAGCGAGCAGAGGGGACAGCTTCACTTGTCAAAACCTGAGCAAGGCTACTGCTCTGAGCACTTAGCTCAGAGACCCAACTATGATCTGAGCCAACCACAACAGCACACACCTAATCCCAGCACTTGGGAGGCTGAGGCAGGAGGACTGTGAGCTTGAGGCCAGACCGGGCAACTTAGTGAAACCTCATCTCAAAATAAAAGAAAGTGAGCCTGGACCACTGGGATGCAGCTCACAAAAAATTCTTACAGGACTTAAAACAATCTACAACAAGTTATTCAAATTGTTAAATCTATTTTTCCCACTCCTACAGAAAGGTGCCACAGCCAGCTGGCTCTGCTGCCGAGGGAGGCGGCTCAAGGCCGGTGTGCAGCCATCACGGGCTGCGCAGTGTCCTGGCCGCCACGTGCCTCACCTGGACACACTCAGCCCCGCAGGGACGGGCCCTCAGCCAGGCCCTACTCCTGGGCACTCCCATCGTGTGCCCGCATGCTATGCCAACAGGCCACCCCGCTGCCCTGTGACTCTCCTGCCTCAGTCTCCAGAGGAGCTAGGATCTCAGGTGTGAGCCAGCCCATGGGGCTGCTGTCTGGATGCACATCCTTGCCCACATCCCCCTCTGCAGCCCACCCACTCCCATCAGACACGGACGGTCAGCGTGTGCTCTCTCGCTAGCGCAGCTACTCACCCCCAGCCCCGAAGTTGACGACGTACTGTGAGAACAGGGCGTCCAGCTCATCGTACTGCACCAGGGCATCTTCGAATTGCTGCAGCATCTCAAAGACGAAGGCAAGCTCCTCCTGTTCACCCAGAGAACACAGGTCAGCTCGCTGGAGCCAGTGCAGCCACGGGGTATGAGTGTGCGGCTCTGGCATGAGGCACATGGAGGGACAGGCTCGGAAAGAAGCAGGGAGACCTAGATGGCCCGAGAGCCAGCAGCAGCCCCGGGCACAATGGCCATGTCGTGCCCTGGGCCTTCCCTGCCAGGCCCGTGCGTGCAGCAGTGGTTTCTGCATCTGCGTGCTAGTCTCTGCTCGAGACCTCAGGCTCGGGCCTGGCCCTGGGCTTCCCACTCACCGTCCCTTCCCTCTGTGACCCTGCCACAGCACAGCCCTAACACCACCCGTGCCAGAAGACCAGAGTGCAGAACTCGGGCGACCAGCAGCTCCATCCCCATCCACAGGGCCCTATCCTCGCCAGGATGCCCAGCAGACACCTGAGGCTGCAGCCTACCCTGGCTCCGGCCTGCTGCCCTGCTCTACTCAGTCTCCCCCAGCTCTGCTGCAACTGCCCGCCCCCTCAGAGCCGAACCCCAAGTACTTACTAGGAAGCCAGGTCCTCCAGGTCCTCCAGGCCCCCGGGGCTGCCTCCTGCTCTCCTGCATCCCCTCTGGCTGCACTCACTTGGTGGTGGTTACCAAGGCCCCTCACTCTCCTCACGTGGGCTGCCCACGCCACCCTCCCCTGACCTGCAACATCTCTCTACTCTTCCTCAGGCCGCTGTGGCCCCACCAGGCAGGCCTCCCTCAGCATCTACATCAGCATGGCTCTCTGCCACCCTTGCCCAGCACTCTGCAACAGCCATGCCCGTGGCCTGCCATTCTCCACTCAGGGTGACCTAGTTGTTATGCATGTCACCCCAGCACCCAGCGGTTCCGGGCACACGCAGATGCTCAATGTTTGTTGAATGACATGGTCACGGGTGACTTTTTTTTTTCTGATTTCCATTACTGCACTAAAGCCCGTATAGCAGACATGCATGCAGTCTACACACTGGCATCTGCAGACACTGGAAACTGCTTCCACCTCATGTGAGTGCCCACAGCTCGAGACTGAAGGCCTGGGTGGTGCTTGCTGGTAGGGATCCAACCCGGACACCCACACTTCTGGCCACAGCTGGGCTCTTGGGACAGCCTGCACCGCAGCTCCTCAGCTGCCTCCTTATCTGGACAAGAGCTCTCGGGCACAAGGCCCTGTCTGCCTGTGCAGAGGTCAGTGGGCTGTGAGGGGCAGCTGTGACCACCAACCATGCCCAGAGGAGCGGGGGAGGAATTGGCCAGGACCCCCGGCCCACTCCTTCCCGCTCCTGCTGCCCCCCAACACAGTGGGGCATCCTGACCTCGCCTTGCATTTTCTTGTGAGAAGGAGCACTCCAATAGGTTAATTTTTTCAATTGTGATAAAATACATGTAACAAAGTTGATCACTGGAACCATTCTGAAATGTCCAGTTCAGGAGTGTTAAGTACACCCACAGCACTGTGCAACCACTTTCCAGAACCTTTCGTCGTTCCAAACTGAAACTCGGTCCCCACTAGGCGAGTACCCAGCCCCTGCCCCAGCCCCTGCCCCAGCCCCAGCTCCTCTTCTACTGGGCCCTGTGGGAACCTGGGAGTCTGTCCTCTCACTAAGCACAACATCCTCAGGGCTCATCCATGGTGCAGCGTGCGTCACAGAAATGCTTCGCTTCCCTTACCTTCCCTTTTCATTTTGAACTAATTTAGAAATGTGGTCCAAAAATACTCCAGGATTTTCATCTAAGCCCTGTTCAGCGTCCTGTAATGCTAACACCTCACGTAACTGTATACTGTGATCAGAACCAGAAATTAACATCTGTACACCACTGCTTCCTGAACAGTCCTTACTGGAATTTGATGAGTTTTTCACTAACTGCTGTTTTTCTTCTCCACAGCCTGCACAGACCCAGTCGCTGTCCCCAACCTCCCGCCATCTGGGAGTTTCTTCCTCTGCCCTTCCTTCGGGACCATGGCACCTTTGGGGAGTGCTGGTGCTGTTTTTCTCGTGGCCATCGTTTGGGCTCCCTTGGTGCTTTTCTGTATGATTTTCAGACTTGTCTCTCTCAGCACACTTGACAGCCTCATTGCATGGACACTAGTCTTGACCGAGCCAGGCCATCCACCAGGTCTCCCACAACGTTTACAGCCCTCCCCGGGGACAGAGCTGGGAGACTGCAGGGCACCACCCGGGACCTGTGCCCACCACTCTGGCACCCGTCGGCATCCTGGCTCCAAAGCTCCTACTGTGCCCTTACCTGAGGGAACTTTGTGTTTCTCTCCTGCATCTGCTCACTGGAATGCTCACGGGAGAGCTGAACTTCTCCACTAACCTCCTTAAAACAACTACTTGTTTCCATCACACAGAAGCAGGGATGTTAGCTTTAGTGCCTGGGCAACAACCCACTCTGTCCTTATGCATCTGGCCCCTGGTCCTCAGCAGATTCCCCAGGGTGGAGCTCGCGTCCTCAGGTGCCCGATCTCCGTGACCCTCCTCACTCCTGGCCCCACAAGATCTTCCAAGCCCGTCCTGCATATTAGCCACCCCGGCCCTGTCATCAATCATCCTTCCAAGGAGCTCCGATCCCTGTTAGCGGAGGATGGAGTTTAGGAACCAAGACCCAGCACTAGGCACTCCCCTTGCTACCAGGACACCCGCAAGTCTAGGCCTGCGAAGGACCGACCCCCACGCACATGTCCACAGTCCCGTGCATTCTGAACCCATTCCCGCCTCCCCATCCCTCCCTCCACGGTTCACACTGACACCTCCCAGCCCCACACCCTGGCTTCCTTTAGCCCCCGCCTTTCTGGTCTGTAATTCCAGCAGACTAAGCCTGGTGACTTAAGAGAAGACACAGGGCAATCAGAAAGGTTTACCACCCAACAATCGCATAGCAAATTATTAACACATTCCAGTCCCCTCGCATGTACCAAATAATCCACATATTCTGAGAGAGCCTCAGAATAAGAAATCAAGATTTCTAATCAGAGTGGTTCTTTTGTTTATGCAAAGTGCATTCTTTCTTCAGAAATTAACACACAACTGCCATCTGGGTAAGAAATTGTGCCTTCTCTGTCAAGAGATGGAAAATAAGGACAAGGGACCCTGAGAGCAGCACTCCTGCCTCCATCAGTATTCAGGGAGTCCATGCCCCCAGGGGACCATTTCCCATTCCTCTGTTCATTTAAGACTTTCATCTTAGAAGGGAAAGAGCTGATTAAAATTAATTTTTTTTCTCGGTACCAGAGATGGAATTCAGGACCTTGCTTGTGAGGCAGGCGCGGTGCCACTGAGCTAACGCCCGGGCCCTAAACTTATGTTTTTTAAAAGCCTGAACATCTGGGTAAATTACAGTGAAGAACTAGCATAACACAATCTTCCGCTGGAACCCAGGTCCTGACACACAGCCATGGAGGACGTGTCCCCAGAAGCCACCCTTCAGCCCATGGCCCCAGGCTGTGAACAAGCACCTGTGTCCCGGCTCAGCCCTCCCGGCCGAACTCACAGCAGGCAGACACCCAGAGGCGCCCACCGCCCTCTGGGGCTTCATCAGCTGAGCTGCGGAAGGGAAGGCCTGCTCTGGCTACTGCACATTGTTCTGCACACCGGGCCGGGCCATGAGAATCCTCCAAGGAGGAGCAGTCAGCCAAGTACCTGGACCATGAAGTAGTCGCAGAAGCTCCAGCCGGGCTCTGTCCTCTTCTCCCGCAAGGTGCGCATGTCGTCCTCAAACTTGCCTAGGTTTTTGGTAAAAGACATAAGAAGCAACGTCCTGAGTTTGGTCAGGAAGGCATTCCAGGATTCCTGAGTTCGAGAAGAGTCCTTCAAGGGGTCGGAGAGCACGACACACCTGCAAAGACACAAAGGCCTGTCTGAAAGGCAGATCTCTCACCTGGCACAGGAGGACCGCTGCAGGCCTGGATGTGGCTCCAACTCCTGCTGCGGCCGCGCTACGATACCTTTTGCCCTCCCGCACCCCCAGGCACATACTCCCGCTCGCTCTGAGGGCCCTGGAGGCCCCTGCCTCCCTCCTGGCCGGTCTGCTGCTTCCCAGGCTGGGCCCTTCACAGGCAGTTACCAAACACGCGGCCCAAGCCTCACAGCAGGCTTCCCCACCCAGGCGCAAGCGTGGTGGGTACAAAGGCACCAAGTAACCCTACTACAAGAAGCTCCCAGTGCTTGGAAAGGTGCTGTATTCAACCACTGGGTGCAAATGGCACCTTCCTTTAGCCTTGCAAATAGTAACTGAGAAGGAAGATGAACAAATCCGAACTCAGAAATGGTTTTGAAATCTTGATACCATGAGCTTCAACACCTCTCCTTAGCGCTATTTTACCTGCACTACCAAGAAATAGGAAAATGAGTTCCATGTTCTCCACCCCAGCACACCTCCTATGGAGAGTTGGCTAAATCCAAGCAATCACATGTCAGCAGACAAAAAGCAACACAGCCTATAATTCTGGCACTCAGGAGGCTGAGGCAGGAGGTTCTTGAGTTTAAGACCAGCTTAAACTGAGTGAGACTTTGTCTAAAAAAAGAGAAAAAAAGCAACACAGCACACAGTCCACCAGGAGGTCATCAGAACCAAGAAGAAAACTGAAAACCAGCCACCCAGTCACTCCATCCCAGATACAGATTATTCCCTGACGGGCAGGGTGCCCAAGGACAGAAGGGACATATTTGCTCTCCAAGCTGCCGGACCTGCAGGTTCAGGAGTTCATCCCTGCAGCGTTCGCAGGGTTGTGGTCAGCAACACTACTGCTGATCAGACTGAATTCTCTGCATCCCACGGAGACAGAGACAGAAACTGCCATGCCAACCACCGAGACTGCAGCTTCCTACAAGGACCCAGTGCTTATCAATCAGACAACATGCTCACCATACTCCACCCTTTACTAGGCCCTTCAACTCCCACCACTGGGTCATCCTCTTTTTCCAATAAAAACAGTCATGCTTTGGACACTCATAGCACATGGTCCGAGGGAGTTAACTGAGTAGGGAGGCCAGAGCTGCCACAACAACAGTGCGCACAGGCCTCGACCACCAGAGCTGCGGCTCACAGGCCTATGGGGAGGTGTGCAGCGGGGACTCGGCAAAGCACTCACTGCCCCTGAGCTGGTACTCTGACTCAGCAGCACTGCCAGAGGCTGACAATGCACAAAACCTGGAACTGAGCAATTTCCTTCAAGGAATTTATCCTAAGGAAATGTTCAGGACAGTCACAACATCTGAGCTAGAAAGATGTTCACAATATTGTTGTTGATGACAAGTAAGCAATAAGCTGTTAGCCCTGCAGAGGACCACAGGAAGACGTGGTACGTTAACGCTAGGGACTAGTGTGCACTCACTGACAGTGACAGTACAGAAACCATTTACTATTCAGAGACCTTTACCATGTGGTAAGTGAAAACAGCAGGTATAACATCATGTACAGGATGGTATCAGTTTAACACACACGTGTTTACATATGCATAAAGAGAAAGAGTCTAGAAGACACAACACAATACTAGTAGCATACATTTTCTCTTTACTTACTACCTTTCTCTAAAAATTCTGCAAAGAACACATAACACAATCAAAACTTAAACACACAAAGCTCAGAAAAACAGTAAGTGTCGCCAGGCATGGTGGTACATGCCTGTAATCCCAGCACTCAAGAGGCTAAGGCAGGAGGATAGCTGCAAATTCGAGGCCAGCCTGAACTACAAGTGAGTGCAAGGGCAGCCTGAATTACACAGTGAGACCCTGCCTCAAAGAAAGAAAGACAGTAAGCACTTCAGGGCTGTGTGTTTCAGTATTTTCAAAGCCAGAAATTATACTGTGCAATGAAACGACTGTTCTGAGCAAGTATACTAAATTCAAATTTATTAGAACCTGAACCAGTTTTTTATGTTAAAAAATAAAAAAGAGAGATTTGTTTAAAAAAAAAGTTTTGCAAAGTAATGAAAACGAAAATGGTATAAGGCATGTTTAACCTGCAGAGAATGAAACATTAAAAATTTCAGTATGTTGAATTTAAGCATAAACAACAGTATTAAAAGCTGAGTTAGTTTAAATGGGCTCAATAGAAACATACCTTTGTCAATTAGATAAAAATTAATCAGACTTGGAAGGAAGCACTACACACTTCGAAAAAAATCATCGTAGACCTTGAACGTGCCCATATTCAGACTAATGCGCCTTGTATCTCACTTACTGAACACAGGCTTGGCAAGTGCTGCCTCTGCTTCTGTCGTGTCCCAGGGCCTCTGAGCGCTGCCTAGGCCTGCGCCCTGCCCACCCCGGCTCAGGGCAGAATTGTGAGCACGCTCGAGCCCTGGGAAGCACAGTTTCATGTAGCATCCGTTAACATGTCACACTGGTCTCTTCAGGCTAACTGATGAAGCGTGACTTAAGAAAAATTGCTACAAGTCCAGACTGCTTGAAAGTGTCCTAAAATAAGCTGGAGTCAATGAGGCTGCTTTGAACAGTACCACATGCCAGGACTGTGTAGAGCAGGAAAAGCCCACCCCAGCTCTGCCCGGAAGGCCTGTGAGTCCTCTGGGGTGACGATGACACAGGAAACATCATGCCGTGAGACAGAGGTACAGCCTTGGCTGCAGCACTCCAGGCTGCCTCCTCCTGTGCTCTCTCGGCACTGGAGCCCCTGCCTCATGGTGGGCACCAGATGGGGGACCGAGTGCTGGGGTGAGGTCAAGCACCAGCCTGCAAGGGCCAGACCTCAGCAGTGTGGCCGGCTGGGGGTAGCAAAAGGGGAGGAAGCAGGCACGGCAGGAAGCCAGGCCCGGTCAGCACACAGGCACTCCTACCTAGTGCTACAGGAGCAACAGAGCAGTCCCCACAAACAGCACAGTCTAGGAACCCGCTCCCCGCCAGCACTGCAGGGCACCTCAGGGCCAGGCTTCAGAGACAGGCCACCATGTGGTCTCCCCAGGCTACTGGCCCTGGGGTTTCTCCTGCCAGCCACACACTTGGGGGACAGGGCCCAGCCCCTCTGTAGGCCCAGGAGGTCAGGGACCTGCATCTGCCCCACACCAACCAAAGGAGGTGAAAGAAGGGTGCACTTACCTGTCGCTTTGCTTATTACAAAAGTCATTTCTTATTTTGTCCACGATGGAAGTTCGGGGAAGGATGTTGGTTTTGTTTTTTTTCTTGGCATCATTTTCAACTACCACTATTAACCAGTCCACAGAGCTGTGTGCTTTCAGAATATTCTGCCACTTGGTGAGGTCATCTTTTACTGTAGCTTTGTACACCTCTGTATCCTAAAAATACACAAGTCACTGTGAAGGTGAGTTCCTCAGTGCCCTGCAGATTACACAGCAATGTGTGCGATGACAGCCAGGGGCCACAGCATGCAGCTCTCCCTGAAGGCAGCACCCCGGGGGCTCTGGGCACCAGGAAGGTCTCCAAGGCAGCACTGTCCCTGCAACAGGGAGGGACGGGGCAGCCTTGATCTGCTGCAGTCAAGGCTCTGGGCCCGAGCACATGGGATGGCCATACTGCCTTTGCCAGCCGTGAGCCTGGCGGCGGTGCACTGGAACCCCAAGCCAGCTCAAGTTGCTGCCTGCAGGCCTCGGCTTTCTGAGAGCACTGGGACCTGCTGCAAGCCGAGCCCAAGGCTCCCACAGGACACAGCAGACGCCCACATCTTCCAGGGGGAATGCGAGGGAGGGCCCCGCACCTCAGCTCCCTCCACACACCCCAGCTCACGGACAGCAGGGCTACACCGCCACTCCAGTCAGCCCCTCTCGTTCAGTCCTGATGCCGGCCTGCGGAGAAGATGTCTCTGCATCAAAGCAATGGCCCAGCTCAGGTCTCCCACAGCTGAATACCCAGGGAACCAGGTATTCTTATTAACTATAGCTTTATTTATCTTCTCTTTTCTCTCTTTTTTTTTTGGTGCTGGGAATCAAACCCAGGGCCTTTTGCTTACCGGGCAAGTAGTGCACTGCTGAGCTACATCTTCAGCCCTGTAACTTTGTGACCATCCTTATGCATTATAAATCTAATCTGCAGACTCTATTTCCAATTATATTTAGAAAATCTAAAACCAAGATACTTCACTCATTTAAATATGAGCATACTCTCCCTCTTTTCCTGGTTCCCCTTTATTTTCTGCCCCGAACTCTACATTTCCGGTCCCTGCTGAACAACGCTCACACCACGTGTGCTGATGTGACTGACCTATGAATGAGTGCTATCTTAAACTACCAAGTCCCTCTTCTGACTTCAGTTACTACGAAGTTCCAAAAGGCAGTGCATACATTTTTTTAACCCTGATTTTAAAAACTATATATCCTGGTTAAATTAGAAACAGATAAGCCCCCAAAGGTCTTTAGTTAGAAACAAGAGAGGAACACCATCTTGCCAAACTCAATGTTCTAACTGGCACTAGGAAGCTACCCACAGGCTCTCTAGGAGGGCGGGTTAGGTTCAGGTTTTACAGTGCTAGTGTAGCATGGAGTCTCAAGAGCCCCAAAAACACATGCGACTGAAGCAAAACCAGGAGATGGAGGGTGTCCGCCCTGTCCTGCTCCTGCCCCTCCACAGTGCCAGCATGAACTGCCCCAGGGGGCTGCCAACGCCTCTGGCCTGCTGCAGACCACCAGGCACTTCCGTGGCCACCCAGTGGCCCCTGGGAGATGCATCTGGCTGCAGGCTCTCCACATCCTCACAGCCAGGCAGGGTGGGGCGGGACGATGACACCTGTGGCCCTGCCTGGCCAGTGTACAAGGATCCACAGAGGGGCCCCCAGAGCAGAGAGGATAGAGGGAGAGCAGACTGCCGAACAGCAATCAGGAAAATCAGCCCACATGAAGCAGCCGCCACTCCCCACAGGGAGCAGACACAGAGATGTCACTGGAGCACACGGGGGACCCTTCAGAAGACTCAGCTGAGCCAGGAAGGTGAACAGCACTGGGGAACAGAATGCAAGCTGGGAGGGCAATGCATCAGGACAGGAGCTGAGGAGCAGAGCCCAGGGCAGGGCCCCAAGCCCACGTGGAGCAAGGGGCAGGCACACAGCAGGCCTCCCAGGTTCAGAGCTCAGCCACACCAAGGAGATGCCAGCTCCAGGTGGCATGAGAGGGTACACAGCAGAAGCTGTGGGACCTCAGGGGACATGATGAAGGAATTTGAGGGTGTCCAGGGGTTCCAGAGACTAAGCAGGACAAAGAGGGGGTCCCTGTCAGAAGCAGGGCGGGGGGCCTATGCTGGTCCAGGGCAAGGTAGCCGAGGGCAAGACAAGGCCCACCTGAGGGAAGCAGGCCACAGAGGCCGGAGAAAGGTGACTCCCAGGGGCTGTGCCAATGTGCAGCTCACAGAGAGTGGGCAGCAACAGGAGCTACAACCACACAGGAGGACACCGGGGGTGACCTGCAGGGCTGGGCAGTAGCTGGACCATGTGTGCACACGTGTGTGCATGCAGACAGCGACATACAGAAATGAGCATCAGTGCAAACATGCACACATGTACACCCACGCACACTCTCCAGCAGTGCCCCCCCAGCCCCAGGTCTCGGAGCACACTACTTCCCCTTCCTTGGGGAACAGTGGACCCGAGGGTTGAGACATGGAAAGGACAGGATGGCCCTGGACGCCCCATGTCTCTGAGAGTGCTTGAAGAAGAAGGACATTTCAAACAGTCACAGAAGCCACGTTGGGACAACCTGAGTATCAAAATAAATAAGGATACTGCAGTGAAAACTAGGAACCCAAATTCATACAGTGCCAACCAGGAAGTGCTTCCAGCCACAGGGAGTACAGACCCAGATATAACCACCACCTGGCACAACCAAGGCAAGACCAAGAAACAAAACCACAAACTAAGTTTTCAGTGCCCTGCACCTAGGCAATGGGGCAGCAGCCCAGCAAGACGGGACAGACAGGGCCTCCAAGGGGCTCCAAGGGCTGTGCCAAGCCTTGGCAGAGACAGGGAGAAGGTGAAGGACAGCGGACCCCATGTCGAGACACAGAGCAGAGGGACAGGGCTCCCATGTGGCCTGGGGAGTGCAGAAGCCCAGTGCTCCAGGGACTCATGAGCAAGCACATGTGAGAACCACACCAGTGGGAGAAAGCCATTAGGCACAGCACAAGGCATACACACAGGGTGGGACCAGGGCCTAGAGAACACAGGACAGTCTTGCTGTGCAGTGAGGCGGTGACTCCTGCACTCATTCCTGTTCCGGACCGACCACGTCGAAAAGCTGCAACCATCCCAGCACTGTGAGAGGCTGAGGCAGGTGGACTGAAAGTTCAGCCTGAGCAATTTAGCAAGTGCTTGTTTTAATATAAAAAGGCCTGGGAATGTAGCTAAGGCCCTGGGTTCAATTCCCAACATGGCAACACCAAAAAAAGCTACAACCAAAAGAGCCAAACTTAGTGACTTCAACTGAAGCAAGCTCAGAAAAATTGAGAGGAATACAGTAATACCTAGCTAGCATCAAACAGATAAAATTCACAGTGCCTGCCATCTAATAAAATGGCCAGCAAGCAAGGAAATAAAAATATATGATTCATAAGAAGTAGAAAAATCAAGCCAGGCGTGCAATCCTGGGCCTAGCACTCAGAAAGGCTGAGGCAGGAGGATCACCAGTTTAAGCCCAGACTGGAAAACTTGATGAGACTGTCTCAAGAGAAACAAAAAGCACTGGGGAGGTAGCTCAGTGTAAAGCCCTGGGTTTAAACAGACACTGCAAGGCAGAGGACTGGAGCAAAACAGGAAGCAAAGGACCCATGTGGCACTCCTAGAGATTAAAACTACGAAGCTGAAAATGAAAAACAGACTGGGCAAAGCAAGAGCCATCTAGACAGTGCAAAAGAAAGGATCAGTCAACATTAAGACAAGCACCAGAAATCATCCAAACACAGCACAGAGGAGGCCCAAGAAGACAACACAACCCTGGTGAGCTGTGGGCTGCAGGTGACCACAGATGGACCAACTCATGGGTCAACGAATCAGTCTCCACCTCCATATCTGAAAAGACGAGACACAAAGACACCTACCTGAAGAAATGATGACAACTTTCCAAATTTAATCAAAATTTTAGTCCGACAAGCTCCAAAACCCCAAGCACAAGGAAGATTAAGAAATCTATTCCAAATCAAATCAATCAAACTGTTAAAAACCAGTGATAAAGGAAAAAAATCTTAAAACCAAAGGAGAAAAGACATTTCTGTTCCAAGTAACAGAGACAAAACAATTGTTTTTTCAGGCAAAACAATGAAAACCAAAGCCAGGGGAGTAACATCTTTAAAGTTCTGAGAAGGAAAAACTCTATCTAGAATTCCCTATCTTGTGAAAATATTCTTCAAAAACGAAGGCAAAATAAAGACCTGCTCATGTATACAAATGCTGAGAAAACTGAGCACCAACGGCCCTGCAGTACAAACCCCTAACCCCTAGGTGGAAGGAGACCCACAGCAAACAGAAGCCCGCAGCTGCACAGCCAGAAGAGCAAGCAGCGACCAGGCAAGATGCGGCACCAGTCCTGCTCTTCATCTGCCTCAAGCAGCTGCAGCTGCAGCACCAACTCACTGTAGGGTCCACAGAGCAGGTGACGGGGAGCCCCAGGCAGAGCCTACACTGCCGCTGTGCACAAGGGAACCACTCCCGCAAGGAAGACTGTGCCACGCTGGAGAGCAGACTCCACCCCGAGGCTGCTAATGAGGAACACAACGGTGCTGCTCTTGCTGTGGTCCTAACACTATGAGCTTACCGCAGATACTTTCTAAGTGAGCAGTAGTCAAGACTTTAATTTTTTGAAAGGCTCCATACTAGAATGTCATTTTAAGGGGAAAAAAATCTCACTCATAATGGCCATAAAAACTAAACCAAAGAACCAAAAAGGCAAGACTTCTAAAGGCCACGAAAAAGCATGAAAAATGGAGATCACAGGAGTGCAGGAGTCAGGAGTCACGACTGTTAAAATTCCTCTCCAGTGGAACAAATCAAGGCACCTTCTCACCTCCTTTCCTGCCGCTCCAGCTATCTGTTGGTATGTAGCCAGCCACTCAGGCTGCAGTGGCTTCTGTACTCCTTAGCTTGGGGACCTACAACCAGGGCACAGCGGGACAGGCGGCCTCTGCACCCACAGTGGCATCGGCGGTACTTTTGGGCTGGGAGGAGACCATCTGAGGCAGATTCTGGTGGGAGCTGGGTGGGCTCCAGGGCTCTGGGCACCCTCCCCAGGGTGGCCTTCCCTGGGGGTGTCTGGCTGCTTGGGGTGCAAGGTCACGCATCCCAAGAGGACCCAGCAGAAGGCATGGTACCACCTGTTCTGACCGATTTGAAAATCACAGTGTCACTTCTGCAAACCAGAGGCCACCCAAGTGCAAGTGGAGGGACCTGGCCGCTCACCAGAGGAAGTCACTAGAACGCAGAGAAGAGCAGGCAGGACCAGACACATCGGTTCCAGCCAGTATCAGGAAACACTAACTCGCACCCCTGACCTCAGAAGAGAAGACACGGACTATCAAAGAGGTTTACTCTAAGCGAACAGATAGGCACACATATAAGACAAATGTAATAATTACGAGTCTGATTTGGGCCAGGAACAGGCAATGATCAATACAGCTGAGTGTACACTGCATGCAGATCCTGTACTGTAGATGCAGCATGCTGAATTCAAATAAAGATGACACTTCTGATAAGCGGGAAAACCAGATTAAGACTGAAATGGTGCTAAGCTAACATGCTGCCCATTTAGACGGGAAAATTAGATCCTCTATAGCCTCCACCTCACAGCTCCTCCCCTGAGAAAAGTAACCTAACACTACCAGATCAAATATGTCACAAGTAATAAAATAATTACAAGAATACATAAGAGAAAAATTAGTCACTATCTTCATATAGACAAGATACAAGAGACACCCTCAGCAAGATACAATATCTAGAAACCATGTTTGTAAATGACAGATTTCAGTTCATTAAAATTTTGCTAGTTCAGAATATGTGTGCCAGATGACTACACCTGCACCTCTTTGGAGAAGCTAGAGAGACGGAAACACCACCAACAAGACTATCACACCACTGTCCGCTAAGGACAGCCCAGCGGGCAAGAGCTGAACTACAGACCCTAGCAACACAGTCAAGGAGAGCCCACAGACACCTACTGCCACTCCACAGTCCAAACACGCAGGAAAGGTGTTCTCAGATACACATGGCACAGCCACAAAGCCGATCACGTATTAGGTCCCAGAAAACGTTAAGATACATAAAGCAGAAGTGCTATGACCAAAGCTTTCTGATCACAATGCCAGAAAACTTGAAAACTTTTAATGTCAATGTTAAAAAACTTCTCTTTCTGGAAACCAACAAATGGTTAAACTACTGGGTAGAAGGAGAAACACAAATAGAAAATAGAGAATTTCTGAAAAATAATGATAAAACCACGGGACATATTTAAAGTAATAGTCAGATGAAAATTCATAACTTTAAAACTTAAAAAAAAAAAACAGAAAAAGTGCAAAGCAAACCATAGACAACAAAAATAAAGTAATTTTAAAAATGAAAAGAAATTAATGAAGTATAAAACAAGCTAACAGTAAATCAGACTAATAAATAAAATCCTGGCTCTTTAAAAAAAAAAATCAATAAATTACCATTAGTTTAATGGAGAAAAAAACAGAGAAAGAACAAATACACAAAATAAGAAATAATCACAGGAAAATTCAGGCCACATTTTCAAAGTCAAAAAATACCACATCTCAATGAAAATAAATTTTAGAACTTAACTGAAATGCATACTTTCTCCTAAAAATACAGGGTATTAAAATAACAAATGGCTGTAATCAACCAATTTTTAAATTTTTTTTTAAACCAATCAATTTTCAGAAAGCTGTCACAGAATTACCCTACAAGGAAGTGCCTGCCCAGCTGGTTTCACAGAATTCCAGCAGACCTGAAAGGCCACACAGTTATCAGGAAACACAAACTGCTTCAGAGACAGTCAGTAAGTGAGTGAAAAGGTCCTCATGTGAATCAAGTTCAACACTGATACCTGACCCTCCTGAAGACAGCACAGATGCAGAAAATCCTAATGTGACCAGACTCCAACATGAAATTAAGAAAACAAGACTCTGAGCAGGTGGACTTACAGCAGGAACGCAGGCCTGGTTCTATGTAAGAGAACACAACTCAACATATCACTAGACATGAGGAGAAACCGCACAATGAGCTCTCTGAAAACACCTTTGATAAAACTCTCCTCGTATTCCTAGTAAACACACTCTAGCAAATGGGAAAGGACGGCCACTTCCTCCCCATGAGCACAACCTCAGTCCAACAGCCTGCATCCTGCAGCCCTCCTAGGAAGGCCAGACAAGGCCGAGATGCCCACCACCTCCCCTCGCCTACTGTCTGGCAGTGTCTTAGCCCAGCGAAGACGATTCCAGCCATCAGAACTGGCAAAGAAGCTGAGCACAGGAGTGCCCACCTGTAATCTCAGCACTTGGGGAGGTTGAGGCAGGAGGACTGCAAATTCAAGTCCTCAGCTCAGTGAGATCCTGTCTCAAAATTCACAAGAGGAGGGAGGCAGGGATGTCATTCAGTGGCACAGTGCCCCTAGGTTTGATCCCCAGCATTACAAATAAAAAAGGCAGGAAGGAGAAGCAAAGTCCTCTCTTTGCAGAGGACATGACAGGGTATCTGGAAAACCCTAGACTTTGGAGCTTAGAGAATCAACAATAAAACTAATTCACACAATCAAAATATTCAGCAAGGTTAATATGAAAATAAGTCAATAGTCTTCACATACATAAATATAATTAGAAGATACATTTACAATAGCAATAAAGTAATATAAATTTAAAAAGAAATGTTGACATGTATGGAAATATCAGTGACTCCTGTTAATCTGTACATTAATTAACATTTGTCAATAACTAATAAAAAATAAGCCACAATAGAGAAAGAAAAGAAGATAAAAAGCAAGGAAGGAGAGGAGGGAGGGAGGTGGAAGGAAGGAGTGCTGCACCCACAAAGGGGGTCTCAGGCCGCCCAGCAGGTCCTGCATACTGTCAGTCATAAACACAACTCAATCCCCTCACAGAGAGCTGAACCAACCAAGAGTGGCGAACAAAACCGTGGAAGGGATGCGCCGAGGGAGGACTCACCAACCCCACACCAGCACCCGCTCCAGAAGTGCACACTGCGCTCAGCCAGAGCTCCCTCAGTTTGTTTTCAGTCCTGTGTGTTTAGCGATTTGCATACCATAGGAGTACATATGTCGGTGCCGCTGAGCACAGATACAAACACGGAAAAGAAGAGCAAAAGCGAGCCCGTGGGGGCTGGCTACAATCGCAGGCATCGGCATCAGCTCAAAATCTGTACAGCACATCTCTCCTCAGCTCTGTCTACAGGAGGGCCAGGGAGCAGCCACACTCTCCCAGCAAAAAGCAAAAAGCACGCCACTGCCCCAGGGTTAGTGCCCTGAGACACATGAGAGTAGTGCCCAAGGGCCAGGAGGACCCTGCCATGCCAGAAAGTCAGAATGCACCCACAGCAGGTAGGAGCCAGCCACAGGGGCCCTCAGGGGGCTGACCTGGGGATCAGAGGAAGGGGGGGGGTGTGGCTCCGTCTTAGCAAAGAGTGGTCCTGGAAAAAGAACTGCCACTGCAGGATGGAGACAGGGTCCTCACAAGGTCTTGCGTGGACCCTAGGCACAGCTTACTGGTCACTCAGGGAAAACAGGAAGCTGACCATGAAGAAACAGACAGCTCCTTGGCCAAGCACTTGAATGCTTGGATGCAGGGTCACGGAGAGAAGATTCCGAGCAGCAGGCCCAGGATGGGCACTCAGCCTACGCCATGGCCCTGGGCTGCAGGTACAAGCTGGAAGGTGGGAGGCATCCCGGGCCACACTGTGTGCACACACGACATGGTTCATGTTAAACACCCCAGGCAGAGGGGCCACTGTGAGCACCTCAGGAAAAACTGTGAACGGAAAGTCTAAGCAGTTTGCCCACTGACAGTCTCAAGTGAGCTACCCTACTCACCGCCCGTCCCATGCAACTCCTCCAGAAAAAGGCACAGGGCACAGCGTAGGAGGAGCCAGGCACAGGCCTCTCGAGCCCTGCCACATTAAAATCATGAAAACAATCTCCAAAGCCTCAGATTTGGCCAATGGTCCCTATGGGCAGTGCATACCCACCAAACACACACTGCTGAATGTTAGTTTAGTGTGGCTTTGTTAGTACTGGGGACTGAACTCAGGGCATTCAGGCTGAGTGACAGAACTCCCCTCTGAGACAGTGTCTCGTTAAGTTATTATGCTGCCCACTCGGGTCTCTAATTGCTGACCCTCCTGCCTCCTGCCTCCCGAATGCCAGGACTGCGACAAATGCCACCACACCTGGCTAAACACGAACTGGCCCACGTTTGCACCACACAGTGATTACATCCTCTGGGGAGTCGCTACATGTACCTAACACATCTTAATGCTGTTTTAATTAGTGAGAACAGGAAGAAATGCCCCTCCGAATGTTCTCTTCACTCAGAGCAGAAGAACTCTGTCTGAGTTCATGAACACCAACGCTGCAGGACACAGGAGGCTGCAGCTAGCAGCACCGAGTCCTGGACGAGGAGACAGACAAGCTGAAAAAAGAAGGGTTGTTGAGGACAGCAAGGGCTAGGACGGGGAGGAGAGCCACTGTGTGAAAACGAAACTGAAAGGGCTCGACAGTTCAGGCTGCACCTGGCGGCCTCCAGGGCACAGTGGCACCGCCCCTAAGACTCAGGACAGGGACCACTCCGCTCGGGGTGCTGCGCACGCACGGGACAGGAGCAGAAACACGTGGACAACGTCCTGTGCAGGGAGTGAGGACAGGGCGCCCCCACAGAGCCCAGCCCAGCCCAGCACTGGCCTGAACCCAGCCTGCACACACAGCACTGCCCTGACGGAATAAATACTCACGCAGCACTCGGTCCAGTAAATGTGGAGGAAGGGGAAGGTGAGCAGAGCTTTGTTTCCTTCTTTGGGGAGCAGCTCCTCTTTGAACGGAACAAAGTTGGACTCGAGGTGGATCATCTTGGGGGCCCGGCCATAGGACCTAGAGAGAGTGAGAGTCAGGGGAGCACAGCCAGCCAGGTTGGGCAAGGAAAGGGGTGCAACAGTAAGTATGCAGTGTGAGAGCCGAAGCGCATGCCCTCCCATGTTACACCTGCACGCACTCTGTCCAAAACACTGCGCGCACAGCTGCATGCCACCATGCGGGTCCAGCCTGACGGAGGCCGCACTCCGCTCTCCAAGCAGGAAGCAAGTTCCCCAGTCAAAGTGCAGTCCTGGGCCGGGGATTCAGCTCAGTGGCGCTGCCACCTGCCTCGCAAGCGCAAGGTCCAGAGCTCCATCTCCAGTACCAAATGAAAGTGCAGTCCTGAGTTACCCAACCCTTCGAGGGCACTAAGGCTTAGGGCAACCTGTACTAGCCAAGACGTGGGATTATTTGCTGAAAAAGAACAGGTGGCACTCAAATAGAGGGGTACAAACCCCTCTTTCCATCTCAACCCAAGAAAAAAGCCACAGAGCTCACGCTAAGCCTCCTCCAGCTCACCTAAGGTCAGGGGAGGAGACAGCACTGTTCCCTGTTTGCCCACAATGCCAACCTTGCCACAGGCATCTCTGCCCCATTTTTCTCCACCCCCAGTAGCTGCCTTTTTAACACCTATGGTTGGATTTTAATCCAATCTAAGGTTGCTCTGTGTGCAGTGAGTTAAGACCAATCATGTTTACCACAACTGTTAGTACCTGAACTTAAGTATTTTCTTATAGAATGTATTTAGTGTGTAGGCAACTGATGGTAAAGGAGAAATCAATGAGCAGTGCTATGCATATTGGAAAATGAACTGGTGTTCCCAGACATCGCTTTTCTGGGCACACAGAGGGTCCCTGCTAGGAGTCTGCACACCCAGGAAATGGAGGCTCACTACGAGCGTGTGGCTGATGAGACATCACTGTTATGCCCTTACTTGTTACATCTGACAAACTCTTGGATTTTCTCTTTGCAAGCTCTATTTCTTCCCTGTGTCACTTGTGAGATATAATCAAGTTTTCTCTCTCCCCTTTTTTGATCTGTTGGCTTGAAAGCGTAACCATCTATTTCCACTCTATTGATTACATTTTTTACTTTAAATATCCTGCAAGCGACAAGCTATGTCTTATCTAAGGTTAATCTTGAATTTTTCGAATAAAGACTAAGTTAAGACAGGTGTGATGATGCACACCTGTGATCCCAGTACTCTGGGAGGCTGAGGCAGGAGGGTCTCAAGTTCAAGCTTGCCCTGGGCAACTTAGTGACGTAGCAAAACTCTGTCTCAAAAATAAAAAGTAAACAATGGGACTGGGGATGTAACTCAGCATGGAGACCCTAGGTTCAATCCCCAGTACCCACCCATCCCCAGAAGAATGAAGCCAATGTTCTCTGCAGGAGAAATTGTACCCGTTAGTTACTCACAGAGGCACAGCTCGTGAGCTCAGGAGTCTGAAGACACTGCCGTCTACTGCAGCGCTCCCCAAGTGCAGGCAGCAGGCCCTGCCCCTGCCCCCGCCCCACAGCAGGGGCCTGGGTGCCTCAGCTGCCCAGTGAGGCTCGGGAGGGGCTGTGCCCACGTCCTCCTCTCACGAAGGGGCCGCTGCTGAGGAATGCTGGTCAGAAGGACAGTCCCTCAGTGCATGGGTGCCGCGCGGGCGGACTGTGTGCCTGGCTCTTTCCCCTCCCTCCCCTCCTGACCCGGCGTGTGACTCCTCTGCATCCTTGTCACCCAGCGGGCTCCTTGGCACCCTGGCCACCTCCGGGAAGCTCTGGGTCTGCTCTGCAGCTCTCTTGCCCTGCCCACCCCTGAGGGCAGCGGGCTTCACCTGCATCCTCAGCTTCAGCTACTGTCACCACCTCTCAGCAGCTGCCTCCCAGCTTCCGCTTCAAGCCCAGGCTTCCAATGTGCTTCCCTGCTCTTCGGCCATACAGCCGTTCTGCTGCGTCTTCTGCCTTTCCAGGATCCTCTTATCAGAGTAGTAAGGACCTACTGTAACACCCACTCGCTCGCTCGGCACGGGAAGCTTGTGGCCTGTGGTGCACACACACCCTCCAGCCAACCTTCTGGGCCTCCCTCCGGCCTCCAGGGCTGCCCCGCCCACACTCAGGACACTTCACAATCAAGGTGCTGGCAAGGTCGGCTCGCTCTGGAAGCTCGGTGGCAGGTTTCCCACCCCCGCCCAACTGCCAGGGGCTGCTGTACCTCTGCCTCCATCTCCCCTGTGTACCCGTCTTCTCCCTACCTCTCTTCTAAGGACACTATTGGATTTGGGGTCCCCTTTCATCTCATGCTCACAGTAAGCACCTTCCCTTACTAACAAGGCAGCTGCAAGAAAGGGTCCCATTTCAAGGTTTCAGGAGAATGTATCTCTCCTAAAACTGCACATTTCCTTTCCTAAGCTAGATGGGCACCTCCCTCACCATCTTCTGTGGAAGAGAACACGGCAGACTTTCCCCGGGGCCACCAGCTTTCCTGAAATGAGGACTTCTCTTGCGTGGGCACATGGGTCCGGCTGCAGACTTCCTGGACCGACCTGTCCCTGTCAGGGCTTAGATTTGGGGGCTTGGCATGGTCCTCCTCCCCGCCTCCTGCAGTGCTCGGACCCTTGGGTCTGGAGCTTCCGTGACCACACGCCGATCCTCCAAGCCCCTGGACAGGTGGGCGAGAGCTGCCCCCCACTGCACAGACAGGGTGGGATGCTGCGCTAACTGCCCCTTGTCCACACCTCTGCCAGCCCCCCTCCTAGCCCTGGTCTCATCCTTGCCCTCCAGGCCTTGCATGTCGCCATGTGTCCTAGACTCACCTCTGCTCATGAAACCTAGTTTGGGGTTAAACTTTCTTGGTACTTCTTCCCCAATTTCTCCACCTGTCCTCCTCCCAACACTGCATCCCAGCTCTCAGCTGCTGTGGTCTCTCCCCACTCTGTCTGCTGTGGTTTGAATGTGTCCACCGGAGCTCAGGATGGAAACTTAACCCCAAAGGGACAGGAGCATGTGCGGGCATGGGCTCCGCCCCAGCCCTGGCCCCATGTGATGTCTTCCTGGGTGGACTGCACAGGAGAAGGTCCTCACTGGGCACCGTCCCTCAACCTTGGGCTTCCTAGCCTCTGGAACCACAAACCACATGAATTTCTGTTCACAGAAACACCAGTCTACGGTGTCCCTCCACAGCAGTGCAGCACCGGCCAGGCACTGTCCAAGGGCATCCGTGCTGTTTAACTCTTTACTCTCACTCCGTGGGCTGCAGCACAGTGCGGGAGTTACCATACAGACTACGTCTCCACGGTTTCTCTATTTCGTTTCTTTTTCCCTCTTCTTGTTTCATGAGCAAACTTTTTTTCTCACATCTTTCCAAATGTTTAACGATACCTGCTTATGAGAACCCTTTACAGATTACTCGTTTCTTCAGGTATCAAATTCCTCCACCGGCTGAATTGCGCTCTCCCCCTGACAGCACGGGGCCTCCCTGCATATGGAAAGTGTCTCTCCCGAAGCGTTCTCTCCCATTCTGTCCTCCTTACATGAAACAGGAGTGACCAAGTGCACACCTGTGAGATGCTGTAATCAGGCACAGACATCAGACAGCCTTCACCGCACAGCCATACTCACTCTCCACGTCAGCAGGACAAAACCAGCAATGGAAAGAAGAATACAGCATCAAAACCCCCAGACATGAGCGGCCACAGGAACCTGTGCACGTGCTGGTAAAAGCCCGACTACCGCACCAACCAGTCAGACTATGAACATCTTCCACACAGAGCACCCTCTACACACAGCTCTGTGGCCTCCCTGGTCGGGGCACCAGATGCTGTGCCACATACACGAGCGGAGGCACAGGGCTGGCTGGCTGCCCTTCCATTTCCTCCTGATCTCTGAGGAGCGTCTCTCTGTGCTGGGACCGGGAGAGCGAGCTGGTGTACACAGCCTGCCTCTTCAGCTCGCAGGTCTCCTCTGCAAACCCCAGGCCTTACAACTGTGACTAACCCGGAAGAATCAAAAGTCTTTCCTGTAAAAGTGGGTCTTTATCACAAAAAACATCATCCATGTCTCATGAGAATGACACCCTGGGTTGGAGGTGCAGCTTAGTGCTAGGCACTTGTCTAGTGTGTGCAAGGCCCCAAGTTCAATCCCCAGCACCAAAAAAATGCAAAGAAAATCATCCTGTACCTTAAAGAGTAAGAGCCATGGGCTACATGAAGCGACTCCAGTCTTCAAAACACACTTTTGGGGGGGGGGGCGGTTCTGAGACTAGGTCTCACTATGTAGTTTAGACTGGCCTTGAACTCACTAGGTACCCCAGCCTGGCCTAGAAATTGTGGTGGTCCTCCTGACTCAGCCTCCTGAGTCCTCGGAGTACAGGTGTGCACCACCATGCCTCGCTCAAAATACACTTTAGAATGAGGTCTTTAACTTGTACTATGTCACTTGCTCCCCTGAATGCCTAAAAACTGAAGAGGGAGAAACAGCTAAACATTAGATCCCATACCTCCTCCATTCCATCGGTTCTCTCGGAAGCTGCTGAGACAGCATCGGATAAACAGAGGTAAATAAATTCTGATCTCCAGCACCTACAATGTGAACACAGAAATCCAGTTATGGCATTTTTAGGCACACATAGGCAAACAGGCTTCAAAGTTTATAAAACTGATATTCTTAGTTTTATATTCAGTAAAATGACATCACAAAACAAGACTGTTTTGTTCCTTTAAATGATGAGTCTCCAAACAACCAGCACTTGATAGTGCAGCAGAAAGCAGCCCCACCAACACCCCGAGCTGCGGCCATGGCTTTCCCAGGAGGAGAAGGAGGGCTACAGGGAAGTGACCTGCTCAAGCTGGGACAAGATGGGCCGCCATTGCTTTCTAAAACTGCAGTCAGGCAGAAAAGGCCATGTGGAGAAAGCAACCTGGAGAGGTAAATGTGAACGCCCCCGACACACACTCATGCTCACACAAAGCCAGCAAGAGCTGGGGCGCCCTGCGCTCCCCATGGTGACAAGCAGCAGCAGGTGCTCTCCTGCCATCCTCGCCTCACTTGGAGGAAACCACCAACAGGGCCCAAACCACCACCAGAGAAGCAAAGTCAGAGGAGAGTGCACCACGAGGCAGACGCAGGACAAGCCAGGGTCTGCCGTGGCACCGTGCACCAATTCCATCATAGCCTGGACAGGAGGCAAAGGTCCACGATGTCCCACAGAGTGACGTACAGGCAAGTGCATGCTGACCTTTAGGGCAGATGACCGAAACTATTACACTCAGAGATTCCTCTTTAAGCAAAATTATTTTCCTAATTGTTTTCATACTGATCTTAAACAAGACTTTGGGAATTGATGTGGACCATTAACACGATTGCTTCTTCTGCTATAATGAACCGAGAAGGGAAAAGAGCCTCCCGGAAATCACTGGCGATGTCAAGTCACTGCAGACAGAAATGGCAGGTCTGGGCAGATGCGAGGTGGGGCAGGGCAGCACTGGGAGCCTGAGCACCCACCCCCGCCTAGCCCTGTCACTAAGCAGCTGAGTTCACTGGGGGCCAGAATGGCAGAGCAGGGTGCAGTGAAGGTCGGTCAGTACAGGTGTATGACCTCCAACAAGGCCTGGCAAAGAGAGGGTAAGAGGGCTGCAATTACTACATTTTTGGTAAAATAAAAACGCTTTTTAGAACTTATCACTTTCTATCTTGTTCATTTATTTGGTAGCTGTCTTAGAAATCAATAAACTGGACAGGGATTTACCTCAGAGGTACCATGTCTGCCTCTCAAACACAAGGTCCTGAGTTCCATCCCCAGTACCAAAAAAAAAAAACCAAGAAATCAATAAAGTAAGAAAATCTTCAGGATTGGGGTGGCTCAGTGGTAGAGCACTTGCCTAATATTCCTAAAGTCCTGGGTTTGATCCCCAGCATGGAAAATAAAAAACCAAACTTTTGTTAGTTTCAAGTTTCTGATCTTTGCCAATTTCTACTGCTTCATTAAAAGGTTTCAAGATTACTATGTAAAATTCAACACCCATTACTAAGTGGAAACTAAGCCAACCACATGGACACTTTCTCACCTTCCACTAGTTTCTATACCTACAACCATACATACACATGGCCTGTGCAGTCTCACATTCATGCACAAAAGACACACACAGTGGGCAATGAAACGTCTCTGTGTGATACCCTCCCAGGCTGATCTCCCTCAGGAAGCTCTCTGTCGGACAGGAAGGCCTGTCTATGTGCAGACTAGAAAGGAACAACTTTTCTTACACTGTTATGGACAACTGTGTAGCCTATGTCTTCATTTAAAAGGCTACACGTCAACCAGCACATCTGCCAAGGAAGATGTCAGCTGACCGAACTGAGAATTTAACCCGTGACCTTTAACCTGTTTCTGTCAGGGCTAAATTGTGCCCCCCAACTCATATGTTGAAGTTCTAACCCCCCACCTTAGAATACAACTGCATCAAAGATAAGATCTTTGAAGCTGATGTATGAGAAGTTAAAATGGGGTCCTGAGAGGGGCCCTAAGCCAGCCTGATGGTTGCCTTGACAAGGACAGAAGGGCTGAGATGCTGCCGGGCCAAGGAAGAGCCCAGCGTGCTGATGCTCTGGTCTGGGATGCACAGGCTCCAGAGCTGAGCAAGGACAGGTTCCTGCTGAGCTCCCTGGGCGGTGGCATTTTACCAGCTGCCCCAGTGACCTGACTAGCGAACAAGAATGTGAAGAAACACCACCCTGACTTCCCAGCATACACGGCTATGATTACTCTTCAATGTTCCTATCGAGTACTACAAAAATGAGGGGTGCTTTTAAAATGGGGTTCTGGCATCGGTGCATGAAGGACAGGAAAGAGCTCAAAAGAACTTCTCAGCTCCCGGGCCAGGCACTCAGTCACAGTGGTATTTGGCTCATGAATTTCATTCTTCCCAGGATTCTGGTCACACACCGAATGGGACAAGAACCGAATCAAATTCAATGGTTAGATTCAATGCAGACCTTATGGGGAAATTTAATTCGGTTCTCATCCAATTTGGCTGGTGAATCATGGAGAATTCAGTTTGTGAACCGAGGCGCCACTGTACCGGCCTGAACAATGCAGGTGTAACCTCCCTCAGTGGCAGAAGCAACCTCCCCAGGGCAGGTGCAGGGGCCTGAGGAGCCTAGACACTCCAGACACTGCTGAAAACACAGGGTGAAGACCAGCCACCGGGCGCAGAGAGCCCTGTGGGAAAGAAACCCTGTGGCTCTGCTCTTCTGAGCCAAGAGGCTACTGAAATGGTCAACCAGACCATTTATTTCCACAACTAAAATTTCCTTCTTTGGTGAGGGAGCAGAGACTTACCAAGGTAGTTCATAAGAGTAATTTATAAGAGCTGCACAAAGCCAGATCTCTCCCCATGTGCACCTCCACCTATGCGACCAGCTCCTGGGGCAACAAGGCCACCTCGGAGACAAGAGCGCACGGCCAGGCTGAGGAAGTGTGCCTCCCTCCCACAGGCAACTGCAGGGGTAGGGACACCTCACCGGCAGGCACGCCTGACCGACAGGCAGACAGGCACACGAGCCCCTGAGTGGGACAGGGCAGCAAGGGAGTGCCGTGCGGGGTACCCCTGCCTCGCCCTCATGGTGGGCTGCCCAGAGCCCCAGGGTGCCAGCCTCAGAGGCAGCGTCCTGGGTCTGACCCCATGAACCACTCAGCTTCCTCATTACAGGTCGGTGCGACTGCACTGTCCGTTTCGGCAGCCACAGGAAACGGCCTTCCCTGCTGCCCGAGGTGGTGTGCCTCCTCCGAGGCTGTCACAAGCTCGGACCCAGGCCCTAACCGTGCCATTTAAGGCTATGGTGAAAGCAGAGAGCGTTCACAACACGTGGTGGGAGGGTCACACCACACGGTAACTGACACACAACAGGTGACGTCCCAACACTCTCAGGCTGCTGTTCACAGCAGACTGGGCAGCTCAAAAGCAATGGACATTTGTTTCTCACAGCTCTGCAGGCTGAAGTCCACGGTAAAGAGCCTGTGGACTTGCGAGGGTCTGCTTCCAGTTCCCGGTCTGCTCGTTCTCACTGTGCCCTCGCAAAGGGGAAGGGGCGAGGACCTCTGGGGCCTCTGTCCAAAGGGCAGCAATCGCTCTCGTGGGTGCTCCACCCCCATGGCCCAGGCCCCCCCAGGCCTGGCCCCTAACTACCACAGTGGACAGTGGAGAGGACAGCCACTGGCTCATGCACTTCCAGAGCAGCCACCTGCTCACCGCGGCTGGGGTGGCCTGCACTCTTCACACAGCCCAAGGAGAGAGGGCCACCCCACACCCAGAGATGAAACGAAGCACCTGGAACTTCCAACTGGCCGAGGACAAGCAGCTAATGCTCACTGGAGCTGGGCTTCACACCGCAAACTGACTTTCCCCCAGTATGCTGCCAAGACTCTGCACTGCTTCTCAATTTTGTTATTTTATTAACTGCACTAATTAACCAGCTGAAGCGGTCTTGACAGTGATCGGTTCCAAAAACCTGCTACACAATGGACATTCCTGACATGCCCTAAACATGCAAAGCTGTAACATGCAAAGCTTCTGGGGAAGAAGTACGAAAGGATCGGGAAACTATAACGGTGGGAATGGAGCAAAGTAGAACACAGAGTTCAGCCAAGGTGCAGCTGGCATATGACCTTCCTGAACAAATATCTGACACCACTATTTTCAAGATCAGAATTTGCATTTGGAGACTGACACTGGTAAAGATCTTATACAAAAGTGTAAAATATTTGTCATTACTGTGTTGCATTATAATTTTTCTTGGGCTTCTTTGCTCTTCGTATCCTCTTAGTAAAGGGAAATACCAGTAGTAACTAAGATATGGGAGCATTCTGCCTGTTAAAGAGACAGATGGCTGTCCTTAACATCCGATGGGCCACATCTTATTCAATGTGCTCAGCAGGACTCTGGCTCCACAGCACTGGTGGGTGCAGACAGGGACAGACTTCAGCTCTGTTCTGAGAGGACTCCAGTGGGGGGCAGGGCCGCAAGCCTCCCATGCTGGAAGCATCTCCACCAGGGCCTGAAGGCACTCCTGGCTGGGACCAGGAAGCTTTAAAGACAGAAGGTGGCTGGGCTGTGACTCAGAATGACCTAATATTAAGTCTCCTCCAAGATTCTAGGACTCTGTTTTTGAACAAAAAAAGTCAAAGGACTTACCACTTAAGTAACGTCTGCTATACAGAAAACTTTGCAGAAATAGCAGAAGCCAAGCGTGGTGGCACACACCTGGAATCCCAGCACTCAGACTGAGGCAGGAGGATCATTGTGAGTTTAAGGCCAGCCTGGGGTACACAGTGAGTTCAAGGACAGCCTAAACTACACAGCTAGATCCTGTCTCAAAAAAAAAAAAAAGCCAAAAAAGGTGTATGGAAACGTTCTTATGGAGGGCGAGTCCCTGAGCCCCAGCAGGCAGTGTGTGCCCAGAGACCACACCCCCATTAATGTTCCCTGGACAGCGCTGACAGACAATGAAACACCCCAGGTCACATCCCGCCAAGTCACCTTGACCTGTCCAATAATGCTCAATTTGCTACATCTTGCGCACAATG